GGTTGAGAGCTCGTCACATGACCAAAAATATTTGACCTATTTTTAGAAAGTACTATATGAGAGAACTATTTTGGTTTACTATTTGGGGGTTTAAAAAAAAAAATTTTTTTTAATTGAATTAATTTTTTTTTTCAAATCTTAATTTAATGAAAATAAAATATTTTTAATCTTTTTATACAAAAATTGACATTTTTTTTGTTCTAAATTTTTTTTCTTCATTTTTTTTTTTTTTTTAAAATACATTTTTGATGCAGGATATAAAACAAATATACCATGCCTTCTATTCGAGGTACTGGTTAAACTATGGGCTTCGGTGACTCAAAAAGTAGCCATTTGCTGAGGGACGCTCTGGCGCATAGTTTTAACCAGAACCTCTCAAGGCAGTGTATATTTGTATACTATCTGCTATCATAATTAGAATCAATAACACCCGGTGTTGCACCATTAGCATGTACAGTTTCCCATTGTGTCTCCTATAACCTACGACCATTTAGGATTCGGAAACACACATTTTACATAATTCCAAAATAACTTTCCCTGTTGTTTGGGGGCCTAGTATCCTGGTTTCCGAAATAGCCATTAGAATGTATTCATTCTCTATCCTATATTGAGGAATTATTCTAGCTACGTTGTCCTTTTCTGATGTATTCTGATCAGATATGGTACGTGTGTAACCATTGAAATCCCCCACTATTTCTGACTCCGTGGCCCTTATTCTACTCAAATTAAAGTCCGACGCTAGTTCAAAATCGGGTTTAACAACTGGGAAGTTAGTCTCAGGTCTAAATATTTTAGATCAGAGTCGGTATTATGACCATGCATGTAAACCTTTACTGATATCGGGACTGATATCTTTGACCTTGTATTCTCATGTTTATTTCAGATCTTGTGTATCGTACTAGGATGCTGCATCATGAAGATATTGACCAAGGAGGATTACGTCATCTAGACTGTTATATCATTATTGGACTTTCAAATAACACCTTTGTAAAAAAAAATTAAAAAATCAGTCTTATCTTTATAAGTCATTTTGGCAACATTATGATTCAATATAAAAAGGAGCAATGTTTTCAGGCAAAGCTTCATAAAAAGTATACTTTATGTAACAAAAAGAAGGTTTGACTGTAATAGTAAGTTGTATAATATTATATAAAGGACCGACAGTATGCCTTTACTGTACGTAGCTCTTGCCTGTTTTCTATTTATATGGTTATTTATAAGTTTATACTTGATGATAATATAATCATGATTGCGAATTGCCTATTACCATAATTGCGTCTTTCAAAATAGATATACATTGTGATTATATTATACATGTATTAAAACAAATATATTCATATATTCGATTGAAATATGTGATTTTGATGTCATAAAAATTGGAAAATATTTGTAATACCATGCAAGTCGATACTTATTAGCAGCATCATCAATAGTGTCATAGATGCAGGGGCGGCCGAGTGACTTCCAAAGTGGGGGGGGGGGGCACCAAGAAAAAAAGCGAGCTTTGGGAGAAATTGCGCTTAGTCGCTTGAAATTAGCTAGGGCGCGTTTAATGATGAGAGGAAAGGGGGACCTTATCAAGAAAGAAAAGGAGCATGTGCCAAAGTACAAAGAGTAAATATCACAGGTGATTTATGAAAAGGGGATAGGTCCCTTATTGGAAAGGAAAAGGGGCACGTATCATTGTTAAAAGGGAATTTATCAGAGGTGAAAAGAGGCACTTATTGCATCTGAAAAGGGGCAATGACCAGATATGAATAGGGGCACTTATGTGAATGAAAAAGGGGCACTTGTAATAAAGGAAAATGTGCATCAGTTGCAAGAAAATGGGTACCGATCAGATTTTAAAGGGGCATTTATCGGAGGTGAAGGGGGCATTTATCTGCAGTGAAAAGAAGTAACTTCTCGTACCTGAAAAGGGTCATTTGAAAAGGGGCACTTATTAGAAAGGGAAAAGGACACATGTGAAAATATAAGGTGCACCTATCCGAGTTAAAATGGGTTGGTTATTAAGAGAGGAAGGGGCACTTCTTACAAAGGAAAAGGGGCACTTGTCAAAGTAAAAGAGGCACCTCTCATAATTAAATGGGACAATTATCAGAGGTGAAGGGGGCACTTATCAAAAGTGAAAAGAGGCACTTCTCGTACCTAACTGGGGGACACTTACTAGAGATTAAAAAGGGCATTTATGAGAATGGAACATGAACACTTATTGCAAAGGAAAATGGGGACTTGTCGAAGGAAAAGGGGCACGTTTTCAAATACAAAGGGGACTTATCAGAGTTGAAAAGGAGAAGGGGCACTTTTACAAATTAATAGTGGCACTTGTCAAAAAGGGGCACTATTCCTATGTAAAAAGGGGCACTTCTTAAAAAGTAAAAGGGGCATTTTTCCTATGTAAAAAGGGGCACTTTTCGGGTGCTTGAAAAAGTGGGGGGCACTGTGCCCCCCTTGCCCCCCCCCCCCCCGCCGGGAGGGCCGCCTCTGCATAGATGATGATATTCCAGTTTGACAAATAAATTGAAATTTCGAGTATTACCCATGCAAAGATATAAAAGTATTATACAGTGCGTATACAACTTTGGACGTAGAATCATATTTCATGGTAAAGGGTATACGAATACCCTACCTTTCAAAACTGATGATACCATATAATTCTAATTGCCATGGTTGACCTGTAGGCTACCAAGTTTGGGCTGAAGCAGTGAAGGTGGTTCAAAAGCCATTGGCTCGAATTCACAAAGGAGGTTTGTTGACAAATCTAGGTTTATGTATATGTGATACGTCATAATTTTATGACGCGTTTTGACTAGTTTTTGTTGTTGTACAAACCTGGTTTATAAAAACGCGTCGAAACGCGTCGAAACGCGTCATAATTATGACGCAGGAAAACCTAGGTTTGTCGACAAACCTCCTTTGTGAATTCGGGCCAATATGTGTGTTTTATGTCATTCCAAAAAACAATTACTCACTTGTTTAAATTGATTATGAGGCAGTTGAAAAGAAAAGGTGTTAATATGAACTCAAACTCAAGTAAATGCTTATTGCGAGGAAATTTTATGATATTCTCTTCGTTATGATGATTACAAACTTGAGTTTATTCGCACCCCTTGAGTTGTACAAAATGAATAAATCAATTATTTTGGAAGATATCTTTTTATGAAAGTCTACTGTAAATTTTGTTTATACTTTCATCGTCCAAAATAAACTTAATAACAATACAAATAATAATAATAATAATAGTAATATTTATAATGATAAGAGTAATAATGATTACAATGTTATATTGTTTTGGTAATTACTGATGATGACGATGATTATGAAACTATAATAATGATAATAATAATGATGATGATAATAATAATAATAATAATAATAATAATAATAATAATAATAATAATAATAATAATAATAATAATAATAATAATAATAATAATAATAATAATAATAATAATAATAATAATAATAATAATAATAATAATAATAATAATAATAATAATAATAATAATAATAATAATGATGATGAATATTAAAGGTACTATTCCCTTTTGCAGCCAACCTCAAATTCTGTAGAACTTTGCAGGAATTATGAATATGTCATGTATGTCCTACCTGTGAGATTTAAACGTTAGCAGTGTCCTCATATTCAAATTATGCAAGGAAACCCGTTTACTTGCTAGACTTCACTGTCAGACACTATAAGTGACTGACTGGCTTTTTTCTTCTTTGGTAATAACTTACATAAAAGGAGCTGTAAAGGGTACATAAGCATTTGTCTACATTAATAACCCACTTCTTGTGATGGCCAAAATTAAACTGATTGAATCTTTGCGCAGCATAAAACGTATGACCATTCGGTACAATGGTCTGAAACTCAAGACTATTACTTATTGGCTCTTTAGCTCCTAAGTCGATTTGACAACTAATATTTGTTATTTTCCCACTTGAAGACACATTCAAGCCCTACCCTTTTTAGGGAAGTTCTAAATTAGTAATATCTTTCAAATGCCGTTGGAATTTAACCTTTTCATTTTTTGGCCTGCAAATGGGACATAGTACCTTTAAAGCCCAATCATTTAATTTATAAATTCATGGAAGCTGATTATGCAATTGTAATATCGAGGTAGGGGTGTTAGCTTGTGCCAGATATTTTTGGTATTGACTTTGTGGTTTACGGTTTCCCGCTATTGCGTATCGCTGACCAAGATGGGGGTTTTCCCTAATGACTTATCTTTTGTATATCAAAACCACGGTCAGTAGCTAGTAGCGCTATCGCTAGTTCTCGATGGTTTCTCGGCACGACAAGTACATACACAAGTTATAACGTATGCTATACGTTCCAACACTGTATCTGTTCGCGAAATCACGCATGAAGAATGCCCGTCGCAATGGCTTCCAAACGAATGATGTATGTCCGGGATATTCCAGTCCCTGCACGGCAGCAGCTATGTGATCTCCTCGATGATATATCTGGCTTGAAGAACTGGAAACATTTAGGTAGGTCTATGGAGTTCATAATTAGTCCACTACTTTCGTAGACTATAATATAAACAAAGTTTCAAGACGTACAAAATATTCACGAAACGAAACCAGGCCAGGCATAGACATTACAGTGAGCGCGATATGCATTTATGCACATGTTCTACTTGCCTTGAGCTAGACTATTATAATACAACTCAACAGGTACTAGCTACATGTACTTTTAATTCACTTCATCATCATGTTTTTAGCTAAATACACGTACATTTAGGATTGTACTCATATCCCAAGGACCCAGGTCAAGAGTTTCAGACTCGGAGCTCCTTTCTTTCAATTCAAGCATGACCATATTATTATGATGACAAAACTTGTTTGTCATCACAATAATAGAGTGTGAAAATGATGATTCACAATCTGAGTACACATGCTCTTTTAATAAAAGAAGGTATATGTGAGGACGAACAGGATGTTTGTATAAAGGTGTATAATTCTTACATGGTCTAGGGTGGACTTTGGTTTATGGTTGATATTGTAAGATTCTTTCATTGATTGAAAGCATATAACCGATCTGCTGAAAATGATTGTCATCAAATATCATTCTTTCTTTTTAATTGGCTACTACCTCCCCTACATATCCTGGTTTGTTGAGTAGGAATAAGAAATTGGATTACCGGTATGTTAGACTCTTTTACACCGTGAAGTGCCAGCTATGACTGGTTGATTATTTAGAGGTTTACTTTTGAGAGCTCAACAGGTTGTTGCCAGTGATATTTTTGTGCATCTAACTTTCTAAGTGGAATATGGCTACCAAGGAAATGCCAGTATTATTGAGGGACATAAAACCTGCAATTGTCAAGCAGGAATTATGTCATATTTTAGATTCACACCTACAAAGAAAGAACTGGATGAGCCTTGGTAAGTCAGAACCTAGACAGAAAAATCTGTCTGCTTGGACGGAGGAGGTTTTTTTGTTGTTGTTGTTGACACTCTTTTCCTTTTCAGCAAATCCAGACATACATGTAGCCTCGATCAGTAGTACATGTACATGTAGTAGTATTCCCCCGAAAGAAATAGACCAATTTTTTTTGGTCTAGTCATACTCATAACTATAATTTCAATGCGACAAAGTAACACCCATTGTCTATTTAAGAGGAACTGGGAGTTTAAAATATTTGGTGATGGTCGTTGGTAAATATTTGTTATACCAAATAGGTGATAAGAAGAACGATTAAAAGATTTTTATGTCAACTTCTTAAACTGTCTAATTCTTTATTTGCCCTTGATCAAAAGCCTGGATAGTCCACTGCCTGGACTGTTTCCGTGTCGCGGGCCCAATCAGCTGAGATAATTACACACCCTCAATGCCAAACCGGAGACAGTCCTTGCCTCGATCTCATTCTCTTTCTTGGGTTCAAACGATCTGTGTGGGATGCATGTAAGGGCGGAGGACATAGATGATTGAAGATTAAAAAATATATAAAGGCAGACAGAATCTGAACTCAAGTCTGGACTGCTACAGTAACAGAAGTCAACCTTAGCGGTACCCTGTTTGTTTCAATTCATTAGTCGACCATGCAATTAAAGCTCGGTTTGTGTAGAGCGAACATCAAATGTTATTTATAAATATTTGTTGGTTAACTCAGTCCGTACTGATTCCACTAGATTTACCTTCATGTGCGTTGAAAATAAAATGGGAGTTTTACAGTCTTAGACTCATTTGAAACTTAATAGAGTAAATATCATTTAATTAATTTGACTAAAAATATGTGGAGGTAGCATTGTACATGAATATGAGGCCTACAGTCCTACACAAACATTTACATGTGGTTTATTAGCATTACTCAAATATGAGTAAAATATGGGAATTCCCTAATCAACAAGTAAAAAAGAACTTTCCACACCAATGAAGTTAAAATATGACTTCTGTTATCCAAAACACATGTTCATTTTTTTTAAAGACTTTGTAACTTCCTCTTTCTATTTCAGAAATTTATCAAATCTAGCTCTGACATATTTGTTACTTTTTCAGCTTTTTTGGAATTACCCTTGATGTTTAGGTGGACAGTCCCTTTAATTGAATTAGAAAATGTTGGGAATTTCAAGTAATTTCTTTAAGGATATATGTAGAGTTATGATGTTGATGGTTGGATTTTCCGCTTGACTTGTTTGTTACATGCACATGTACAAACACATAAAGTGAAGCTCTATGTACATGGTTTAGGTTCCGTACAGAATGCCAGGTTTAACTTATGATCAATAAAGCTTGAAAACAGGGCAGAATACTTGTAATGTAGAAACTTGAAATATGAAAAATTCATATTGCATTTGATAGATTTTGTTAAAACAGAAATAAGGGAGGATGTATCTCTCGGGTTGTATTCATATACTGAACAGCCCAAATGCTCACTTATTACTAGTGAGTGAGTTTATTTTAATCAGGGCATACATTCTCTATTTTACTTAGCTATCCATAGTGTCACAAGAGGCTGAAGAATTAATTTTAAAGGCAACACAAATATTGGAGCAAGATCAGGGAGTTATATCAGCTTTAATACGTGTCTCTCATCATCATGACTCATACATGTAGCACAACAATTCAAATTCAGGGTACTTTTTGCTTTGAATTTGATAATTTCCAGAAAATTTTAACTAGAACATTCTATTTGACAGTACTGTTGCCTCACCAAATAGTGAGGGATCATATGCTTTAAAAATGTGTACAAAAACAATGGTAAATTATTCTGACAATTTATCCAATAATAGTACATGTACATGTAAGACTGAGGGCGCGTTCATGCTTGATTTTGACGGCCAGAATCAGGCATCTGTTACGCGTTTAGTTTAAAACACGCTTGCGTTCATGCTCACTTTTGTAGAATCACCGAAAAACGGCGATCACGATCGCCGATCGTAAACTCACAAAAAGATGCGTTTACAATTTGTAAACTCGTTTAAATGGGGTCAACGCACTGACCTCTAGTGGGTCTACGTAGCATGCGCACACAGGTTTGCGAATCCAGCTGAAGGCCACCCAAGGAGAATTGCCTGGAGAAGTAAGCATGAACACTACATCGTGGAACTGCGATCACGATGAGCGTTTACGATGAGCGTTTCAGATCGCTCATTCTGCCTTCAAAATTTAAGCATGAACGCAGCCTGAATCCACACAATACTGACTGAATCAAAACAATATCCAGATGTTGTTAAACTGTAATTTAATCTTGTGTATTTGATGATCACAAAACAGCGGGATTGCTTGGATTCACCAATGATGACATCGCCATGTTCCAGCGTTGCATGCTGCGTCCAGGAGGTAGTCCTACAGATGAGATGTTGACTACGTGGGACTATGAGAACCACACCATTGAAGAACTATATCTCAAACTCTATGAGATAAAACATGCAAGGTGCATGATGTTTCTCAAAGACTTTGGTAAGTGGACTATACACTGGCATTGTGAAAAAGTACTTTTATTGCAGCTTTTGAAAAAAAATCAGTCCAAAAGCTTATGGGGAGCAAGATTATATTGGTGGTCTTGATGATTGAATGCATGGATCGAGTTCCTTTGCATTTTACCCTCTATATTTTAGAGATGAGTATTATCTAAAACAGATTCATTATTATGAAATAGGTCCTATTTTTCAGCACAATGTGCAGATATTGTTGAAAAATAATTTTGTGGAAAAACAAATGGAGAATGAGTTGCTGGCGTATATAAATCCTATTAAATCATCACAGCAGCCAAAATGTATACAGAACGAGAGAGAGAGAGAGAGAGAGAGCGCAAGAGAGAGAAAGAGAGGGGGGGGGGGGACTTGGTAATTTGATAATAACTCGGGACATGAACTGTAAACTCAGTTCTTTTAATTAAGGAAGTGGAAAAGGTGTTCATACCGCATCTTTCCGTATAAGCTGCCAAAGTTCCAGTTTTGCCCATTCACAATTGTATCTTGTAAATGCAAATAAAGATGACAAAATTGAAGTGACTGCACAGTAATCCACAATACATAGGATGAAAATTACACAGATGCATGTAAGTAATATGTGGCTGTTAGCTAAGCACAGCGTGTGAAAGATTGTAGTGTGTAACATGATATGACAGGATAAGATGCTGGTACTCAAAGGTCGTCAGCTGACATGAAGTCACAAGTTCCTGTTGGCGGTTGTTATTTTTATTGAATATTTTTATCGATTGGAGCCAGAAGAGCTTTAACTCATGAACTTGAACACAGAGTTAACACCCTTCTGGCTCTGAACAGACAGTATTCAAGAATGTCAGTACAACATGAGGATCACATCAGACAAATAGGGAATGAAAGACTCATATTTTAAATTTAGATTAAAATAGGGGAAATTACTTGTAACATACTCGCTTTATAATACTCGGGAAGAAATTTGCAAGATTGTTTTTATTTGTATACACGTTAAAAAATAATGAGTAGATTTGTAATTTGTGTTATTTGGAGAACAAAAAAGGCATGCATTTATATTTAGATGATTTTATATATTATTTTTGTATTGAACATGCTTTACCTTAGGTGCTAGTATAGATATATTGACTGCTATGAGAGGCATCGCTGTTTCTATAGGCTCAAGGGGACGTTACATCCTGATATGACCTTGAGGGCTTAATGACTGAGATATTTGAATTTTCAAGACCATTTATTTCCTGTTGATTTTTGCAGTGAGACCTGACTTGCATTACTTGATACAGAAGATTACACACAGTGACCCACTGGTCCCTGAGCCACCTGTCATGAATGTTGGTCAACCAGTAAACCAGTTTCAACAAAGACCAGTCAATATTCCACCGGGTCATGGTAAGCATTGCTACAAGTAGGTTATGGGGTCATGTTCTTTGTATCCTCTTATAGCAGAGGAAAATGTCTGCGTGTGTTTAGTAGTTAGTATAATTTGTGATTATATTGCACAACATGAAGAAATTGTAAGCAAACTTTTATCTCAAGGTGCAGATCCAGGATTTTGTACGGGGAAGCACGATGCCAAATTAGGGAGAAAGTTTTGTCATGTAATTAGAATATGCTAATTGGATTTCAAAGATTCTGCCAGTCTGATTATCATTGCAGTGTAGAATTTGGTTTATTGCATTGATCAGTTTGAGAAAAATTACAGTTGGAAATCTTCAAATTGGCATCATAAAGTCAAAATACAAAATAAACTTGTGAATCATATATATAAATGGGAAGTGGGAAATGTTTTTGTTGCATTTAAACATCTATGAATATGATACATGTACTTTAGCAGAAGTTTTTTTTATTTTAGAGAATATTACAGATTTTAATTGCCAGTATAGAGAGGTAAAGCTTACTTAGTCTTGTAGAAATAACTTCTTGATGAGTTGACAGATCTTTGTTACCTTTCTTCTCCTTTAGATTTATGTTGTGTAATTGTATTCTTTGTATGCACTAAATAATTGTGTTATTCCGTACACCCCACCCTTGATCTTAATTATCTAACATCTACCTAATAGCTTCTGGTTGAGACAAGGGCAAGCACCCCCCCCCCCCCCCCTCTCTCTCTCTCTCTCACTTTAATGTATCAGGAATCGTGATTACAGTATTATTCAATGTAATCATATAATGTTCTTATTTAACACTCAATATTGGCACTTCCCTTGATCCAAATAGTCTTGATCAGAAAAATTGTGAATTGCTACATATATGTGCTTTCAACATTTAAGAAATATACATGAGATATCATTATAGAAATTGTCTTGTGTAAAAGCTGAGATGATAATATCTTAAATTCTACATCTATTAGGTTAATGTTATACATTCATACTATTTTTGTATTGTAGAAAATCAGTTTCCAATGCATAAGCCTCAGCCATCATCCCAGCAAAGTCCACACTATCCTCCTCAAATCCAAAATCACCCTCAACTCCCGCAACAGCAGCAACAGTGGGGGCAACAGACTAGTGGCAGAACTCCTTCAACTGCCAGCTACCACAGTCACATGAACCCTGCCTTCCAGCCTGTGGACCAGAGAATGATGATGTCCACAAGACCGCAGCAAGATGGTTACAATGCTTCAATGCAACCCAACTACAGGCAGGAGTACCCAGCAGGGCCTCGGCACCAAGGTCAAAACGATCTGATGAGGGTGCCGTCAGAGCATCCTCTAGGTGGCCCACAGCGTTACCAGTCTCATTACTCGAACAATGATAACTTGGCTATCCCATCTGCTGTGTCCCCGGAGTGCCTTCAAGCTTCAAGGCAGCCCATCTTTCAGTCGCTTCCTCAATCGAATCCCATTCAACATCCACACTCTGCTACCCCAAGTCAAGCTAGCAGTGTAGACCAATGTAAGTGAAGTAAATAATCCACAGTGGGTTTGGTTTTACCTATTTGATATATAAACATGAGAACCAGTGTTTGTTTTATAAATATGTATTTACAGTCTATTTAAGTGTTTTCCTCATATTTAAGGACTAATGATAAGCGAACTACAAAGTCATGTATTGTCCCCAGTACCTTAACAGATTGAAAATATAAACAAAAGTTCCTGATGGAATTATCTAGGCCCTTTCATATGTTCTTTTCTTCTTTTTCTTTTCTATAGAGAAAAAAACATAATTTTAATCTCTGATGAAATGAGACTTTTAAAGCAAACCAAATTGCATTAATGTGTCACAGTTCCCATATAGAATGACTGTAGAATATTTTCTTTGTTAAAATTAATCAGGATTAACAAAAATTGGAGGAGAGAGGTGTTTTACAATCACATATATCTGAAAGTGTAATTCATTTTGTACAATTAACCATGGGACTGGACTTCTCAAATTTTGATATGTTACAACATTTGTGGACCTAGATAAGCTTGTCTCTTTTCCTTGAATTTATAAAAGTGTATGCTCTTGACAATGTATGTTCTTGCTCTTGTTATATTGTCATGGAAATACATTTTTTTTTTAAATCAATAGAAACGTTAAAACTAGGACTTTGTTCCGTTTTGTTTCCTTTGTCACATGTCTCAGAGCAAATTACACTATAAAAGAAAGAGAGAGTACAACAGTATTAAAAGAAATATCATATTCTCTTTTGTCTGATTGCAGGTCTAAGTGCAACCATCAAAGTGCCGTATGAAAAACTGCGCAAAGCTACAGAGAACTTCAGTGCTGCCCGAAGACTGGGGTCAGGAGCATTTGGGGAAGTGTTTCATGCTCAGCTTGATATGATAGATGTGGCTATCAAGAAGATCATCAAGGTAAATCCATATGCATTTGAGGTACTATCTATCTATCAAAGTATCTTCTCCCGGTTCGGAGGTTGATTGCAACATCTCTCCATTTCAACATCTTCTGCCATTCTGGTGCACTCTTGCAGTTTGCAGTTGAGGTACCCAAAACCCAAATACCCAAATGAGTGAATAGTCTTCTAGCTCTGATCCGACGATTTGTCAACTTTTCTTGCTGTAGCATGAAAATTATCATCCCTTTGTGAAGTTAGATTGCAGCAGTTATCATTTGAACACTATGCAGTAGATATGTAGGTTTGATATTGACATTTTTTTTCTTATGTTTTGGAACATTTTACAGAATGAGAATGTCAAGTTTAACGAGTCAATGATAAGAGGAGATCAAATCAAGGAAATTGAAGCTCTTACAAAGTGAGTATATTACTGCAGAGAATATATGATTCATGAACAGTTGTATAAATAGACGAAAGATCAGAAACTTGAGACCAAATAATGATATTCCCAATGTTACTTTATTTGTTACATGATCATTTGTACGCCTATTTATTTCACTTTGCAATGATGCCAAATGTATAATGTTATGTGATTTAGGGGTGCACACTACATGTAACTTTAATACTGTGCTTTCAAACTTTTTTTGCCAAGTTTTTTAAGAGCAGTTATATACATACTATTGCATTATTCCCAAACTTTTAGGGAGGTGATAACATTTTTTACTGTAACACATTTTTTTTTTTTTTTCGTGATATCAATTTCATTGTTTTCCTACCCTTGGCTTTGCTCCAATAAATCCATTGCATGTTAGAACAGGATGATAACTGAATGAAGCCTATTACAATGAGAAAACTCAATCATCCGTATGTTGATAAATCAGTCAAAAAGGCTTCTAGATATTGTATGATTCATCTTCAAGTGATTTTTTGCTGTTTGCAGGTACCGCCACAAAAACATTGTTTCCTTGACTGCGTATTCTTTTGGAGAGGACTGCATTTGTCTGATATTTGACTTCATGAAAAATGGTTCCTTGGAATACCAGTTGGAGGGCAGGGTAAGATGAAGCATCTATGCAGTATACATAGCCCCTGCGGTTGGGACAGCATAGAACCAGGGGGTTCTTGGTTCCAAACCAGGGTTTAGAGTTTAAAACTTAAGTTTTTGTTGTACTGACTTGAGTTCATTTCTATCTCAAGCACATTACTAAATTCATTGCCAGAAATCAAGAAAACCTTTTTTTCCTTCTTTTTGACCATAAAAATGCTATTTAATGTAATCAATGAATATTTCAACCAAGATTGTCAAGTTTTTTCATGTATTTCTGCTTACCCCGGTACATTGTTTTATACCCAAATAGATCACATTTTTATTTTCCATTCCATTGATTTTGGTTTAATCCTGTGTTATCTTAGCTTAGTATTCAACATATTTATCCAAAGATTTCTTATCTCAACAAAACACAATTTCAGCAGAGATATGAAAGGTTGCAACTAAAATTTCTAATAATATGATCAACCCCTCTCGTGGGTTTGGTAGGAAGGAACTTCCTGTTGTGTATGACCTCTTTTGACCTCTATCACACTCTTTATCTGCTCACAGGCTCCACAGGGACCTTTGGAATGGCATAGAAGGCACATGATAGCAGAAGGGGCAGCCTTGGGTATACAGTACCTCCATACAGCGGATAGTGCTGTGCCCCTTATACACCAAGATATCAAGAGGTGATATGATAAACATGGCTTAATCAAATACTTTTTGCAGAAATATTTAGGTTTATGACAGATAGAAATTGAATTTCATATTATTGTTGGGCTTGGTATGATCACGTGTCAGGAGATAGAAACATGATGATGCACATGCATTATTTCTTGTTTTTTAATCAAGCAAGATTTCAAGAGGTAATAACATTACTGAAACAGACATTAGCTGTGAAAAATTTCTGCATTACTAGAAAGATTTGACTATGCATCGGATATGGGAGAGGCGATTTCTATGAACGGATGTGGTTTATTGTTACGGATACAATATGTATCACATACATAGGTCTGTTTGTTGGGCTGACTGATAAGTACCAGCACATTGTAGATCACCAGGGATTGAAGTAGATACAGAGTCTTGATGGATCAATCATGTCTGGAAGAGACCAGGTCATCTACATAGCAACTGAGCATTTGAAGTATGATGTGATGCAATTTAAGTAGTTTGCACTTGAGTACACTACAAGTGTTATAAATGGTTAGAAAGCTTGAAATGTTTACAGTAAACCCTGGCAGCATTTTTGATAATTATGTATTCAAGCATATTAAGACATTTCAAATTTCTGTATTTATAACACGTAGATAATACATGTAAGACCTTTGTTGCCTGCTGCTACTTTTTTTTACAAATCCCATTTGCTATTTACTTATATTAGATAGCTTAGACAGATACCGAGATGTGATTGGTCCAGAGCTTGTCACATGATATCAATTGCGAGGATCCAAATTGTTATATTTTCCTGGTTGGTTATATTTTACCGGCCGGTGAAATGAATATATTTTTAATCAATGCATGTCGCCATCTTGAGGACTGTATGTCACCAATTACACACATTACACCATTACCGAGGGTAATTTTTTTTTCAATATTTTTTTTTCATTAACTTTTTTTTCCCCTTGAAATTTTTTTTTCCAAATTTTTTATGGGGAATTTTTTTTTTTTTTTAAATTTTCCCCCAAAAATGCTTTTCTGGGCAAAAAAAAAAAAAAAAATCCCCCATTTTTTTTTTTTTTTTACAAGAATTTTTTTTAGGTGTTTTTTTCTTCATAAATTATCTCAAATATTATTTTTCAGTCAGTTTTTTTTTTTGGCACTTCTTTTTCTAAAATTTGGATTGCCCCTGAAAAAAGAATTTGGGCACCAAAAAAAAAATGGACGACCCCCCCCCCCCCCCCCCCCCCCCCCCGAAAATAAAAAAAATCAAACCAAGGCTATCTAATATAACAGTTATTGACTTGCAGGGGGTATATAACATTCTTTGGACCTGAAGGGAGTTATATGTTCCCTCGTGACCATATTTTCCCTCAGCGCTGCGCGCTTTGGGAAAATATAACCACTTGGGAAATATAACTCTCTTCAGCAGTCCAAATAATGTTATATTACACCCCCTGCCAGTCAATAGCTGTATAATACATGAACAAAAACTGTTTTCTTTGTCATGTATAAACAAATCATTATTTGTGCATGGTTTTGAGCTGATGGGTTATGTATGTATCATTGACCCTGATTAATCTTACCTTTACTCCATTTTGAATGCCTTGTTCCTCTTTTGTGTTCTTCTTACAGTGCAAACATCCTTCTGGATGAGAACTTTGTTCCTAAGATTGCAGACTTTGGTCTAGCCAGACCAGGTCCTACCCAGGGGAAGGAGTACACTACTATTAAGACCAGTGTGGTGTTTGGTACCAAAGCCTACTTGGCTCCGGAGTTTATGCGGGATCCAAAGCGAAAGCTCTCAAAGAAACTTGATGTTTACAGCTTTGGTGTTGTAAGTTGATTGACAAGTTTTTGAAAGTAATGTGATCCTTTGCCTTCAAATTTTTCTCATTTTAGTTTTATATTGTATTCTTCTCTCTCTCTCTCTCTCTCTCTCTCTCTCTCTCTCTCTCTCACACATCCCATCCCTCCCCCTTCCCTTCTTTCATCTCACTTTGTCTTTCTATTCCTCCTTCCATCCATTCTCTATCTCCCCCACCCTCTTATTCATCCATTGCTACCCTTCTCTTCTCCTTCCACTGCCCTTTCCTTCTCCCTCCCTCCCTCTTTCCTTCCGCCCCTCTCTGTCTCTCTCTCTCTCTCTGTTTCTCCCTCTGTCCACCCCAGGGGTCTCAGTCATGTAGAAATACTGTAAACATGCGTGACCACAGGTTTTCCAGACACCCCCTAAATGAGGATTTCTTCTGAAGCCAAAATACACCCCAAATGAGGATTTTTCATAGTTTTTCCTGAATTAGTGAAGTGTACTCCTAGACAAGTGTTGTAAAATTGTAACCCCTAGAGCAAGTGGGATAGGGATTGCCGTTTCAGTTGTTCACAATGTCAAATAAATCAAATTGCGCTTCTGATCTAACATTCACAATGTTAAAGATTACCCGTAAACCCTGGACGTAAACAGGCATGTCACATAAAGAAATATATGTACAAATAATAAATACATTAATAGGCCTGCATCATTCATTAAGACAAAAAGCAATTGCCAAACACTTTTAATCAGTTTGTGTTGTTCACCCCAATTTTTTTCCAACTTACAAAAAAAAAAAAATTATTATCCAAAAAAAAATTATTATCAATTTTTTTTTATAGGTCCTTCTGGAGTTAGTGACAGGAGAGAAAGCAGGACAAGCAAAGAAAAGATTTGGGACTCATGAAATACTGGTAAGAACATTCATGTGGTAAAGGTCATACACAGTGTTGGTAAATTTGGAATTCTTAAACTTGATTCTAGGTTTAATCTTGCCCTAAGATTGGTTTAAAAAAAAATGTAATTAGGCCAATGTTCATGAAGTTTAACTGTTGTTCAAGATGATTGAGACACAGTGCCATGAATAACTACATGTATTAGTTAAAGTAAGGCTTTAGTTTGTTAAAAGGGAAGTTACACTTTTTTATTCTTGGTTCGAGTTCTAGATCTGTTTACTGTTTACCTCGTATATATTTTCTGTGATTATTTATGTATTCAAACAAATATTTATCAATTTTGTATTTAGCCCAAAATAATTGGAACAGTACACTTTTTATCACATCATACATTTGTTTGTTTCATGATCTGGGAAGGATTTTAATACTTTTTAAAGCCATGCCTAATGTTCAATCTCTCTTAAAGGTAAAGACCAGTATTGAAAACGCCCCAATTTCAAAAAATGAAATGGAAGCTCTTATTACCAATCATGTGAAAGAATATGTTTGGACTAATATACAATTTTGCCGGGAAACCGCCTACTAATTGATATATTTGGTAAATTAGTTTATCTATTGGTGTGTGAGAGATAACGCACGTGTCGCGCACGTGTGCGTAGTCCCATGTACATCTTTCTGTGTACAGTGCTTGTAACTTTACCATTTTGATGATTCCAGAACCTTGCAGTACACACCAATACTTATATGCTAGATGATCAACCTTTTCTGATCAATTCCACAACGTTTCTTTCACAATGCAATCGCATGACCATAACTGGTCTTTATCTTTAACTTTTTTTCTTGTAATCAACGACTCAGTGGAGAAGTGTTGACAAGATAATGTATGCCAATGAGGGGAATCCCCAAGCTGCTGCTAAGATCTTGCAGGATCCCAAGTGTCTAGTCTGGCCCTCCAAGTACATGATGGAGCTGGTTGAATTAGCCATGGATTGTCTCAAGGACTTCAAGTTCAGACCAGAGATGGAAAAGGTAGGCCATTGATAACCAGACATTTGCTCTGTCTATGATTGCTCGGGCTGTATTTTGTCACAGATAGTGGGTTAGGGTTATGGTTAGGGTAACCATTGTAACTGGGTTTCAGGTTACTGTTAAGATTAGAATTAGTGTTTTGAGTGTTTGGTCTAGGGTCCAAGTTAGGAATTTGCATATTATTCTTGTTGTTGTTGTTTTTGTACCGGTAGTAGTTACCGGCATTGTCATTTTATTTATAAAGTTAACATAAAATACTTTTTAAAATGCACAAAATTTAATAGGATTATAGGTGAAGTACTCTAAGATATTGACCATGCATGTGTCGTAGAACCATGGCATCAGGTCCTGGATAGGTTTATTATTTTTGAATGCATCGAAATTTTAGAATATGATGTATACGTCTTTGCAGAGGGCAAATTCATTTGCCAGTATTGCAAGCTTCCTTAACCAGCAATTAGTTATTTCTTATCTTATAGTTGTATTTTAATTGGAAAACTTTCAAATACATTTGGTAACAAATGATGATTCAAAAGAAAAGGATTCCTCATACATGCACCTGTAAAAGACTGTTTTAAAGAACATGGATGTATTTCCAAATGAATACAAGGAAAGAATGATTACATGTGGAATTTATGGGTGCTGTGTGTTTTATCTCATGTAGGTCATCCTGACATTGTCAGAGATGGGAGTAAGGATTGATCAAGAAGAGAGACATAGGTCTTCAAGAACTCAAAGTAAGTGATGAATATGTTTTGCAATATCAGTGGTTATCTATATAATTTCTAACAACATCATTGTTGATATTACTACTTCATTATCACTTCATATTTGTTACTGTGGTATCACCCTTTATAATTTTTAATCCTTTAATCGTTGTTGTACATCATGACATTTTTATCTTCTAGGTATTTTAAAATATATTTGATAGGAGAGGAGTGCTAAATAAATACAGGGAGTTTGTAAAAACCAACAAACAGTGGTGTTGGTAGAGGCTTTCCTCAGAATTTGGAATACGTGACACGGCTCTGCAGTGGTTTCGGTCGTATCTTAACTGTCGGACCTATCGGGTTCGCATAGATAGCACTTACTCTGATGTTCATACTTTAGATTATGGAGTTCCACAAGGGTCCGTACTCGGCCCGCTCCTTTTTACGCTATACGTCAAACCTTTGGGAAGAATTATTAGTCGCTACGGTCTTAGATATCATATGTATGCTGACGACACACAAATATACACAAGTTTCAACCCCAAAAGTCTTGCAAATTTTCAAGAAGAAATAAGTAAACTGGAACAATGTATCTCTGAAATTAGTATATGGATGACCTTAAATAAACTCAAACTGAACGAAGGAAAGACGGAACTACTGCTGGCCATGTCACCAAAGCTTAGACATCACTTACCGCGTGATATAAGTATAAACATAGGAAATGGTAGAGTACAAATGTCTGACAATGTCAAAAACTTAGGTATTTTCTTTCAATCTTCAATGTCCATGTCTAAACAAATTACTGCTTTGTGTAAATCGCTTAACTTTCATTTGTACAATATTTCTAGAATCAAGAATCTGTTGACCTCTGATGCGTGCCATCATGTCGTAAGATCATTAATCCTCAGTAGAATAGACTATGCCAACTCTCTTCTTTTGAATGCTAATGTGACAGACATTCAAAGATTACAACGAATCCAAAATCGTGCTGCCCGGGTTGTTTTGGGAGGGAGCAGGTATGAATCAGCATCTCCTCTACTTAAGCAATTACACTGGTTAACCGTAAATAACAGAATCATATACAAAGTTTCCCTAATTGTCTACCAATGTTTGAATAATTGTGCACCAATGTATCTGTCTGTGCTTCTACATACTCCTCCTAGACTTCAATACAACCTCCGCTCTTCTAACGACCCCACGCTCCTCCGATTACCACGTATCAATTCAAGATCGGGGGAGTGTAGTTTCTTTTATTATGGCCCCAAAATTTGGAATACCCTCCCTTTCGACCTCCGTACCTCTCCCTCAGTTGAAATTTTCAAGAAAAAACTAAAAACGTACCTCTTCAATAAGTAAATTGTAATTCTAATATTTTTGTTTGTTATTATAATTACTCTTTTATACATGTATTATCTTGTGTTTACTATGTCATTATTTCTGTAAAGCGCTTCGAGCAATTCGTTGGATGTTGCGCTATATAAAAGACAATTGTATGTATGTATGTATGTATGTGTTAATGATGTTTGAGTGAGATGGCATGCAATTGCAGTGACATTAAACTTTCATCTTCCCCTCCCTTCCTTCATTACTTCTATCAACCGTGTATCATCATCACCATCATATAACTGGCATTTTCAATGTTGTTATTAGTGGTTGAAACAATCTTTATTTCAAATTCTTTTAAGATATCCACCAGTGTTGTTTAAATATTTAAAAGCAGTATTTAGAGGCAGTATCCGTTCTTTAAGAATGGCTGTCAGGTATTATAATAATAATAATAATACTCAGTTTTTATATAGCGCTTATTAGAATCACTGGTTATGAAAAGTAATATTAATTTCTTGACATTTATCATACATACGTCTTTGTATAAAAATGATATCATTGAAAAACAGCCATGAGCTATGTATTCAGCATTTGCTGTAATGAATGAAAAGATATGCTATATTATCTATTTTATTTTTTCATCACAGATTTTCCCATCGAAAACACAGATCCTCTGGAGCATGGCAAGGCTGTGGAATCCTCAGATCCTAGTCAGATGACTGAAGGCCAGGACCAGTATGGAGCTAACGGAAGGCCTGGGGTGCAGCAGTTGGAGGGTGACTATAGGAACGAGAACCCAAAGTATGAAAACTATTGTGGCTTTCAGGTATTGGCCAATGGTCCTAAAGTACAGGGTAATGTGAATAATGAGAAACCGCACACTCAAGAGTCAAGATATGAATTGCCAGAAAGTAGATTGAACCAGATCCCTTTCCAAGATCATCACCAGATGAAGGAAGGAGGACTAAGACAGGATGAAATGTGTGCAAGGGAGAGGCAGTTTCAGATGCAGCAGCAGCTACACTACCACAACCAACAGAGGTATGAACATCAGTATCTGTCGCCGGCTGTTTCGGCATCAGGTAACTCCTGTATGGACAGGAACGCACCCCCATCCCAGAGCAGCATGTCCCAATCTCCTGGATCGTCCTACCCAAGCTGCGTTGATTCATTCAGTGTCTCATCTTCATCGGATGCATCATGCGCACGCTTCCAGGGACCATACCTGGGGCATCCTGGAGACTATTACCCAGTACAGCCCCAGGGACAGTACGCAGATCATATGAATCCTCATCTGATGCATCCATCAAACGTGCCCCGTCACACAAGACAAGACTTCAACCACATGGTAGATGGTCAGTATGAGTACCATGGCCAACATCCAGGCTTTGGACCTTGTCCAATGGGAAGTCCAGGACCTCAGGATGTTGGTTACCACCAACAACCCAACAAGGAGAGAGATGAGGACTTGAACAGCAAGGGATCTGCTGACTCCACACCGGTGTCCTCCTCCTCAAGCTCTGCTGCTGTCTCCTCTTCCGACTCTCCCAGAGCTTCGCCGTACCCCAGGATGCCCACTTTGAATATAACAGCTCTTTCCATGCAGTCTAGCGATACCTCTAATTTCACAGGAGATACTTCCCTCTCAGAATCAAGCAAAGATCTTCCTCAGAATGAAGGTGGAGGAGAGTCAGGAGACAGTAAGGCAGAGGAGAGTTGTCAAAGAGAGCGCATTGGAATGTTACAGAGTGGAAGAGAGGAAGGTATGGAGCAGAGTAATGAGGTACACAGGAGAGAACCTGGTGAGAATACAGAGCCACAAACACAACCTTGTCTGTGAGAAGCTATCTTTTATTTTATTTTAAATTATTAGCATCTGTATCTGTAAAAAAAAAATGAAGCTTTATTGAATCACATAGATAAAGAAAAAATAAAATGAACTCAACTTTTATCTGTGGCATGAAAGTGTCTACTAGTATTTGATACACAAACAAACTTTATTAATTCCATCATTGTTAGATTAGAGATGTAATTTCATGTCTATTTTTTATTCTCTACAATATATTTTTTTATCAGATTTGTATAAAGATTTACATTTAGTTTCTCAGACTTCTCAAATTAAAAAAAATAAGGTACTCAGAAACATTATCCAAGTTATAAAATGGAAAACTTTTAATCTTGCATTGTAAATTAAGCCTGCCTGGTACTTGCTTCTTCATTTGTGGATAAAAACCTGTTTCCGTGGGATCATTGTGAATATGCCTATTAGGTGATGGTAATGAAATGTTGGTACATGTAATTGCAAAGTTTCATATTTTGATTACCGTAGGTAGAGAAAATGGGCGTATTGATGTACATTCTTAGTTTTGAGATCAGGGCCCTTTCTTGTGAGAAAAGTTGCGATTGATTCTAAGCGATCGTAACTTGATATATCAAGCACAACTCTGTACGAAGAAGATTATATGTTTGCGATTGATTGAAGGCCTTGCAATCAATCAGGATCAATGCAAATCTTTTATATACGAGTCTGTGTATTATTACTGCATTTACGACTACTGGCTTGATTTCTTTGACCTCTGTATATTTTACCACATACCAAAACCATACGGCAGACATTCATCCGTATTCCTGAACATGATGTCGTTTTTAGTGAGTTTGTGGCTGTTTATCATTAAATGAAAAACAAAACTCAATATTACATTAAGAGAGATACATATTTTTCAAGTGTCTAACTTTGAAGTATGAATCAATAATCACTACAAATAAGCATTGATAAAAAAAAGAAGAAGATGAATACTAAAGCACATGAGGAATATAATTATGTAGGTGAGACTGAGAAAATACAGATTGATGAGTAGTATTATTGATATAGGCTTCCATTGTATTCATGTAGGATATTATTTTCATTAGACACATTGGTTGGTTAAAACAAGAAATGTGTGCATGCATTGTTTTGTGAATGGTCAATATTCTCTTCAACTTCAGAGGCAAAATAATTCAATCACAATTGACTGAATGTGAAATTTCTGCAATTCCTGACTGTTTCCTATTGGGGAATGTATCTAGTGTTACAGTATATGTATTTTCCATGTTGCCTGAAATGATCCAAGGTTTGTAAACTTTTTATCTTTTTTGAGCAATGTTTTTACCGTACTTGTTTGAGCTAGGTATATGAGATGAATTATGTGAGCAGCATACAGGAAAAGTGAACATTGTACATACATGTAGTGAATTAATTTAGCATTTTCGCTAATCTTAAAAAGAACAGCTTATCAAAGCTCTGTTTATCAATATTTTGAAAAAATTTCAATAATGTGCACCTCAACTCGAGATGGGAATGAATTCATGAATTTCTTGGGAAAAAATCAAAAGCTGGAACCAAATGTAGGCGTCTCTTGTCATTTTATTTGTGATATACGAAGCTGTTGCACTTTTCAATACTTTCAATTTCATTTATCATCTAGATTCTTGGAAACTTGTTCATATGTACAGAGAGAGAGGGTCAATCCATGTTATTTATGTATTAAATATGTACATGAGGTATTTCTATGTAGGAGCCTTTTCAATGCCTGCCATGTATTAGTGCATGTTTGCCAGTCATTAGAATAATCTATTCTTCTTCATAGGTTTTTCATTTAGTTTTATATGGGATACCATTTTTTTTTTATTAATACATGATTATTATTATCTAAACAAACATTCCTTGCCTATAGGTTCTTTAATTCTTTCAAATTGAAGCAAATTTTTTTTATTGAATGTATATTTTGTCTACAAAAGGAGAAGAGAGTGCATTTCTGTTGTTTTAATACTTTAATTTGGCTTATTGTCTTAGTACATGAATTTTAAATGCAAGTTTATAAATGAGCAAGTGTAATATGTATGCAATCATGAATTTCTAAAAGCTTAGAGCTTTTATAATTAAAATATAATCATCAAATTACAGCAGCGTGTTAGTGTTCTTTTCTTATGAAGTAAAGGTTTTGTTTTGCAGGGCCCCCGAGTATAACAGTGTTTTACTCACTGATGGGGTTACCCTGGGTAAATAAAACAAAATAAATAAATAAATAAATAAAAGTTTTCCCTTTTAAATATACCCACAAGTTCATCAGTGATGTTTAATTCCTCAATGTCAATATTACTAGAACTTACATCTGTAAATTTGCAGTGATCTATTCAGGGATCGTGTTCTATGCTCAAAGGTGTATCCAAGAACTAGAAAATTAATGACAGTTTGTACCAGACCTCTGCATAATCTTGAAGGAATTTCATTTTTTACCCTCGGCCTTTCACATTGTATATTGACTAATCCTGATTAAAAAATAATTTCTTATTACTTTATTTTCTACAGGAAATAAAAACGTACACAAGCACATAAAGAAAGGTTCTTCACAAATAACTTACAGGATAATTTCAAATCTTTATTTTAAAATCTTTTCCAATAAAGCTGTCGGTTGGGTCACAACTCCCAACACCCGGCATAAAACAAATCTTAAAGGTCAACATAATTCCATACAATACATGTTCCAAATAATTCGTCATACTGTATTCTAATTTTATTTTATTCTCATTTATTGATATGAAATGGTTTTGAGCTACGTGCTGAGCTGGGACAAAAATAAAGAATGATACAATATTAAAATATATTATAGCACATGTAAAGCTACATGTTTACCACTTTACTCATGTATTTAAATCTTTGTAATGCAAAAAATAAAAATATATTTAAAAACTATTGTTGCAAATGACCCCACAGCACTTGTATGCACAAGGAGATCCGTATGAGGTTCGGATGTGAAGCAAAGAATCAATTCTACTTGTCCTAACTTACAAAGTTGCCTACACAAGTGATACAAGATGCTTCTACCATAACATATGTAGCCATACCCATGTATAAGTACAAACTAGGTAGATTTCTTAGCACTTCTTCAACATTGATGTAGTGGCAAAGGAAAGATGTGTTTCTATTTGTGTTTGGAATATGATCATCCCTCTAGTCTCTTCAAAACATATTTGACATTTCCCCTGTCATATATATTCCCTTAATTTATATCAAACATGTAAATAATTATTGATAAGAGGGAGAAGAGCAAAGCAATGTTTATCCCAACATAATTCCTTGGAAGAATCTCATCACCCTTTATTTATGGCATTTCGTGTACATTGCAGAGCACAAAAAGCAAAATGGTGGAGTGATTATATCCATAACATTTGAACTGCATGTAGTGATATATCAATACTCGTGCTGCTAACATTATGCATAAAGTGTCCTTGGACAACGTTTGTATAAGGGTATCATAAAGATAGCATTAAGTCATCACACCCAACCATTCTGTTGTATGGCTTGTTGTACACAGGTACACGTTACTCTTATTAGACAAGTTAAAGCATTACAAAGACATGCAATGAGTGTCTGCAATGCTACTAACTGAAAATCTAATAAACGGGCAAACCTCATTTCAGAGTTGGTAATATATCAAAGGGTGCAAATACCAGATTCTTGGAGAATACTCTGGGGTCCACCTGTGTGAGTATATCACCAATACCATGCTATCAAGCACGATTCAGGAGGATAATTCAATTCAACAACTTATCTGAACGTATATAAATATTTATCGAATAACACACATACATTACATCTTTCCTTCCCAAACCACTATGGATACTCACTGGGCAGCAAATACTTAAAACTATGTCATAGATAAAGATAATCACAAAAGAGCTATACCAACGAAGTGCATTATTAAAAGTTGATGGCTTTCCCACTGTACGCTGCCATGTTGGCTTCTCTGAATGCCTCAGATACAGTCTGCAAGAAAAAGATTGGGAGAAATATATCAATTTTGTCTAACCAGCATACCTTTAGTCTATAAGCTAACCACTGAATTTTTCAAATTCATATTTTGAGATAAATGAATAACGAAAGAAATCCATTGAAAGGGTCATAACTTTACATCTGATTGTGAGATGCTTTGATCATTACAACATCCACTTTTGAATATGTAGATGCAATTATGTTCAAGTGCGTAAACTAGATGGAATGGAGGCATAAAAAGGACGATATCATGATGAGCCATTGTACAACATAATCAACCATTCAGAAGGTTTTTTTTTATCACAATGCCACTGCTTAAACCATTAATCATCTGTATTTCACAAGGATCCTTTTGGAGGGCTCAGGCATACGTAACACCAAAAAAAAATAACTTGAATTTTAATGACAAGTTTATGCTACAAGAAGAGAAATAATATAGTTGACTTACCGGATGTGCATGGCAAACTCGAGCTACATCTTCACATGAAGCACCATATTCCATAGCTAATGCTGCTTCATTGATCATCTCGCCAGCCCCTGACCCGATGATGTGAGCTCCAAGAATTCTATCGGTAGCTGCATCACTCAGCATCTTCACTAACCCATCAGTATCGCCTGAGGAGGAATATGAGAATATGAATTATTGGATGACATCAAGCTCTATTTATTTCTATGCGCAGTATACTAATCAAGTCGGTAGTCAAAGGCAGAAGTGTGAGGTCACTGACTACATGTAGTCAGTGCATATCACATGTCCAAAGATGAATAAAGATGGTCTTTAAAATAGTAAAGTATTGGACTTGTTTGCAATATATTTGCATGATTTGAACAGAAAGACTAGCTTTTTCTGGCTAAGTTGCATCCGATACGAGCTAATGAACCATAGTTATTGCAAGGTAACATATGTCAAATGTTTAATATGCAATTTAAGGTGCAAACTGATTATGAAATCACCCTTTTGTAATCTATTTCTCCTTTATCTAAAGATGCATGGAAGAGATGCCAAGGGGCCCGAGATGCCTCTTTCAGGGAGATATGTGCACTTTACGAGTCAACATCATTGTCATCATCATCTTTTTATTTCAAATGCTCATACACCAATTCAATAAATTACTTGGAATTAAGAAAGACACTACATGCAAAATTACTCATATTAATTAGTTCTGCCTTAATATCAGTCTCTTACCATTGGTCTTAGCTCTGCTGTTGGCTGCAAAGGGGAACTTTCCCACTTTGTACTTGATTCCTTCTTCCTTCAGTTGTTCCTCAGTCTTGCCTACCCAGGCCACCTCAGGATGGGTGTAGATCACAGAGGGAACGCAGTTATAGTCAATGTGAACTGGCCCACCGGCCATTCCCTCCACAGCGATGATTCCCTCATCCTCGGCCTTGTGAGCAAGCATAGGCCCCTGGATGCAATCTCCAATGGCAAACACACTGAGGACAACATGGGGAGATATGTTTAGATCATTGTGTTAATATTGCACAGAATAGGCTGATATTAACATGTGCATTGAGACTGACATACAAGATTTTCATATCAAAGTCCAGTAATGGCTACTAGTAACTTTTGTACAAAGAGAACAATTTTCAGGAAAACGCTTGTCACAAGGATACTTCATAGTTTGTAGTTTGTCAGGATTCTGATAATGCATTTTCATGACAAGAATGCTGAATTTCACATTTTTTTTCTTAATTGTATTTGATTTCTTAAGTACAGATTCGCATCCTTACCCTTAAGTGAGGGTTTGGGTTACGTTATATTACATATGATATTAACGTGATACGACACATACGAGCAACCAGTCTATTAACTGGAAACATATTCTCTGAAAACTGTATCTTGGGTGATGTGATATTTCCTCCAGTTTCTCACACAAATTAATTCAAAGGATGCTTCAGTGGACATTTCTTACAATCAACCTAGATGTGTTCACCCTTTCTTTTTCCCAGTCTATACTCTGATGACTACACAATAAGCCTTTTATAAACTAAAGAATATGATGCACATTACTCACCTAGGTACGGATGTTGCAAAGCGGTTGTCTACAGGTATCCTCCCCCTCTCATCCAGGGAAATTCCAAGCTCCTGATATGAGAAGAGAAATGGCAAGACTTATCATCTTTATTGAAAGCACTCAAAGAAAGAGGAACTGACAGAGACTTTGAATAGAAAATTAAGATAGAAATCATGATTTCTTCAGGTTTGACTGTGAAGAGAAAAAAAAATCTACATTGAAAATACTATGGAGAGCAAGATAAGCGATAAAAACAAACACATAGTGAATTTAATATTTCTTCTTACAATTCTGTATAATCAGACAACTGTTGTCACTTTTGTTTAAGTATGCCAATTGGACAAAAGAAACAAAGAAAATACGAACCACCCAAAACAAACAAATTCTATCAGAGTAAACGTCAAATGCATCTTTTAATAATCTAAAATAAAATGTCCTAAAATTCATGCAATTCAATTATGGTAAATTTCTGATTAAACTATTATCAAGCAGTAAAGTGAGATTATGCTGGCCTTGTGTCTGTTAACAACCCACCTCTAAGCCTAGATTATTTGTGTATGGCCTGCGTCCGACGCACACCAGTAGCGTGTCACACTGAAGATCTTCTTTCTTGTTGGGATCTTTAACTGATTCTACAGACACGCTGATGTCATCTCCTGTCCTCGTAGCTCCGGTCACCTTGGTGTTCAGCTTGAACTTGATGCCTTGCTTGGTGAGAATCCTCTGGAAGTTCTTGCTGCAATGAAAAGACCATATATTTCAATATATCAGCTTTCTGTATACTTTGAGTGAGATAGAGCAAGCAATGAGGGGCATGTATGACACATGCTCTAGCGAAAAGTGCTATGCAGTCTTCAACTATATCTATTACAATGTGAGCCCAAATATATATGTTTGGTATAAACCTTTTTTCTTTGACAGAGTAAAGATAGGATCAAATTTAGCAGGAGCATATGTTTTACCAGCCAGCCACTGAGGAAGTACTATTAAGACCTGAAGTAAAACAGTCACTATATAACAATCTTTAAACCAAGCAGTTGTGATTCTTCAGAAGCTTGAAACACTAAGGAAGTTTAAGGAATCTGGCAATGACGGGATACTTCTGAGGGGGAGAGGATTAAAGGAAGAAGAATACTTTGGATAGATAGTGTGACATAATAGCCTGAAGGGCCAGGGGGTGAAATCAATATAAAGAATTCCGCTGTTATCATTCCATACAAAGAAAAAGACCAATTTGAGATGGAACTACTTACGCCATCTCCATATCGATGCCCACACCACCTATGTGACCGAGGAACTCAACGGCTGTGACCTTGGCTCCAAGACGCTGCCATACAGAACCCTTATGATGGAAGAGAAACAAGAACACACATAATTATACAAGAAATGGAGAGAATGGAAGTACAGTTTCATAGGAATAATCACCCCATACATGTATAGTGTTGGTAAAGGTAGATTGACGCATTTTATGACAAAAAGGCTTATGAAGTATTGGGAGTCAATAATAAAAAGAGAAGAGAAAGAGAGAGAAGAGGGGGAGGAGAGTGAGAGACGGAGAGAGACACAGAGAGAGAGAGAGAGAGAGAGAGGGGGAGGGGGGAGGGGAGATATAGATGTACTTTTTACTAGGACAAAAGCACACTCATGCTCCTAAATTGGTCAGTTGGTTAGCAGAAACCCTTTTCCTCATTTTCTGCCACATCTTGGGCTATACCATGAGCATGACGTATTTCAGAAGTCACGGCACTAAATATGAAGCTAATGAAAGCATTCCTACACTCCAATAACATACCAAATATTGCTATTGGTACATTTTATTTTACTACAGGCTTTGATGTAACAAGAGTATCCCCAGTAATGGGAGGGTCCTGGGTCCTTACCAACTCTAAGCCAATGACACCTCCTCCAATAAGCACCATGTGATCAGGGACTCTCTCTAAAGACAAGGCTCCTGTAGATGACACTACAGTCTTCTCATCAACCTTTCAAATAAAAATAATGGATAGTTGTCATTACATTAAGTTCAGTGAGACAGAAACAAAAACTGAATGGAGGACAAATTCAAGTGAAGAAAGGGAGCAAGATTTGACATCCATGTGTGCAAACAAAAATTAAAACAGTTTTTCAATGATGAAAGATATTTCTATAAATATCAAAATGTGGTCAATTGCAGGAAAACTTATGGAATATGGGCTGTTTTACTTGGAGTTATATATATGTACATATAATATATATCTTTTAATCTGCTTTTCAAATGACATACTAACCACCTGCATATAATATATGTATGTAAAGGGGGGGAACAAAATCAGTACAACATTTAAACTTATGTATGCATTTGTTGTATTCCAAAATCAAGGCTCAATTTACAGGAATTATGGAGATTTTTTTTAGCAACAATTCCTTTGAAACAATCAAAGTACCGTATGTATTTGGTATGAATAAATACATTCTTTACATTAGCAAGATGACATCTTATAAGAGAATCTTAAAAGCATGAAGAAGCATTCATATGTGGTGGAAGTACATACCTCAATACCAGGGAATGGCGTGACCTCTGAACCTGTTGCTATGAGGATGTTCTTAGTCTTGACCACTTCTTTGATCTTACCATCAGGATGTAGGACAGCGACCTCATTAGGTCCCATGACCTTACCATGTCCTTGAATCCTGGTCACCTAGATATGGGGGAAAGACAATATGACCATGAACAATAGAGAGGAAGGTTGAGGGGGAAAGGGAGGGGGAGAGGGAGGGGGAAAGGGAGGGGAAGAGGGAGGGGGAGGGAGGAGAGGGGGGGAGAGGGAGGGGGAGAGGGAGGGGGAGAGGGAGGGGGAGAGGGAGGGGGAGGGAGGGGAGGGGGAGGGGGAGAGGGAGGGGGAGAGGGAGGAAAGGCAGAGGGAAGGAGAGGGACAGAGGTAGTGGAAAGAGAGAGAGAGGAGGAAGATAGATGGAGGAAGGAGGGGAAAAGGTATTGAGAGGGAGAGAGAGAGAGAGAGAGAAAGTTAGAGTGGAAGAGAGAGAGAGAGAGCAGATCAGAAAAAGAGAAAAACATTACATTTCTTTGTGAAGGGTCAATAGGGAGTTCTTATTATTTACATTTTATGGCCCTGCTGCACCAATGGGTAACAATCACTATACTTTGGAACATAAGGAATATCTGTTGACATCAATAGACTTCATAAATTAAATGTTCAAAATATAATTACACATAATTGCTTTCACTATGGTAATTATATATAAACCATAAACAGTTACCCGGTATACATGATAGTATGAAGTCTCCCCTTTCATGGCCTAGGTGCTACTTTTGCAGAAGAAACTAGATGGAATTTTGACTGCGCGCAGTCGAAAATGATGCCTCCGCCATAGAGCAATTTAAACAAGTTTGGAGTTTAAATCTCCAGTGGTTCTTGAGATATCATGATAACAATCTCAATGTATGGCATTTCGTAAGTTGACCTCTGTGACCCTTGACCTTTGACCTACGTGCTCCAAAATCTAATCAGATTGTCTTCCTATGGTGATACACACTATCATTAAGTTTGAAGTTTAAATCTCCAGTGGTTCTTGAGATATTATGATATGGTGATACATACTATCATTAAGTTTGAAGTGAAAATTCTCCAGTGGTTCTTGAGATATCGCAATAACGATCTCAATGTATAGAATTTCATAAGTTGACCTCTGTGACCCTTGACCTTTGACCTACGTGCTCCAAAATCTAATCAGATCGTCTTCCTATGGTGATACATACTATCCTTAAGTTTGAAGTTTAAATCTCAAATGGTTCTTGAGATATCATGATAACAATCTCAATGTATGGAATTTCATAAGTTGACCTCTGTGACCCTTGACCTTTGACCTACGTGCTCCAAAATCTAATCAGATTGTTTTCCTATAGTGATACACACTATCACTAAGTTTGAAGTTTAAATCTCCAGTGGTTCTTGAGATATCATGATAACAATCTCAATGTATGGAATTTCATAAGTTGACCTCTGTGACCCTTGACCTTTGACATACGTGCTCCAAAATCTAATCAGATTGTTTTCCTATAGTGATACACACTATCACTAAGTTTGAAGTTTAAATCTCCTGTGGTTCTTGAGATATCATGATAACAATCTCAATGTATGGAACTTCATAAGTTGACCTCTGTGACCCTTGACCTTTGACATACGTGCTCCAAAATCTAATCAGATCGTCTTCCTATGGTGATACATACTATCCTTAAGTTTGAAGTTCAAATCTCAAATGGTTCTTGAAATATCGCGCTAACAAACTCAATACAAGGAATTTCATAAGTTGACCTCTGTGACCTGTGACCTTTGACCTACGTACTCCAAAATCTAATCAGATCGTCTTCCTATGGTGATAAATACTATTTCCGAGTCTTAAGTTTAAATCTTAAATGGTTCTTGAGATATTGTGATAACGGTCAAACGGGACGGACGTACGGACGGACAACCCGAAAACATGATGCCTCCGGCACCACCTTCGGTGGCGGAGGCATAAAAAACAATGGATTGATCAATTATGAGAGCTGAATAAAATATTCTGTTAACCTGTCATTTTTTAGGGGAAATTCACCTTTGCTTTCAGATGAAATATATTTGTTAAATGGTAACAAATTTTACTTACTGAGTTCTGTTTGAAGAGGTGCGCAACGCCATTTGTCAGTCCCTTCACTGCATCTGATTTCTGGCCCATCATCTTTGGCAAATTTAGTTTAATGTCACCAACTAAACAAATGGATATATAATAGAAATATCACTGATCAGAATAATATGATATCACGCTGAAGTTTCATATAATATGTATAATATGTATTAATAAGATAAGATAAGATCATCAAGCTTATACTGAAGATGACTAGGACTTCATGATAACTGTTGTAGCATCTCAGAAACTTGTCATAAGTCCATGTTCTTCAACATCCAATTGAAACAATGCTATAAAGTTAATTTTTATCTCATTAGGATGTCAGAAGTTTTGGACTTATGACCATTGCAAGGGATGTTGCCCCAAATTCTTCAACTTGCTGAATTATCTAATTTCTAACTTTCAAAGAGTAACTTACTCATGTAGTTATGCTTCATGCTACATGCTTCATGCTACATGTCTTCTTCTTAATTCCTCCTGCACATTGTATAAAAGTATTATCTATTTAATCTCATAATCATTAATCAACCATATCAGAAAATCTATTTCCCGGAAAACATGTTTATCAGTGGGACTACACTTAACCAATTGAATACTAATTCTCTCATTCCCATAGGTTTAATACAGGGATCGCTTGGTTCCCATGGGCAATGGGTTAAAGATGATTGTATCACATACCATCAATGCCTCTGCTCTTGAAGTCCTTTGATGCAGCCATGTGGTAGAGATGGGAGTTATTAAGAAGAGCCTTGGATGGGATGCAACCCACGTTGAGGCAGGTACCTCCTAAGGTATCATTCTTTTCTACACATGTGGTCTGGGAAAGACAGAAAAATTCATTTGTCCATTATAATTTTTTGGGTAATAGCTTGATTCAATTTATCGTATCTGTTTATAAAGCAGACAAACATTCCGAATAAGTATAACAGATCGAAATGTGGTAGAACATATTCATGGGAAAGAGTCATCGTATGGCAAATGAAAGGTATTTGTTTATTTTGATTCCAAGGAAGTAACAAGTTTTAAGTAGTAATGAAAACAATTGACATTTAAATGATAATTTTCCTTTGTATTTGGTGTCATATAATCTATAGATGTGCCACTTTAATAAGTCATGACATACATGACTACTAAAATAATTGATACCTTCTGGTATGTATGGGACAAAGTAAGTTTTCTCTGAATTACTCAAGATCCCTCACATACCGAGTGAGAGTGCCTGATGATGTAACTATCTCTCCTCCACTAGCTAGTAGCTACATTCTGGCCATACCTTTAATCCCAGCTGTGCAGCTTTGATAGCAGCTACATAGCCCCCTGGTCCAGACCCAATGACCACCAAGTCCTGTTCCTCTACGGAAGCCATGTGCCGCCTCTGACCCCTCCACAGCGCTGATGTGCTACATCTGGACAGCTTGTGAACATGGTTGACCTATTAAATGACACACAAACATACATAAAATATTGAATTGCAGAATACCAAATGAAGAAAAAAAAGAATAAAAATATTGCAGAACTTGCACTTACAGGTATCCAGCGCTCAAGGGCCCCCTAAATGGTAATCCATTTTCTTTGTTTTTCTCTCCTTTTTTTTTAACAGGGGCTCTCTGCATAAAGACCTAAATTCAATCCAGACCCTATTAGTAAACAACCTAGAAAAAAAAATTGAGGGCTGCTTGCAAAGGAAATGATTGAGATACCAATTTATGTTTCATCTATAATTATGGTAATCTGATGCACTACCAGACTTTTTCTAAAATCTCCCTGAATATCTTTGGAATTAAGGATTATGCATTAAAAAAATAATCAACACAGTTTGAGTTGGCTGCTAATGCTATGTGCTATGTCAATGTCCATTGCAACAAGCAAAAACCTGGACATTAGCACATCAGGGTACAATGGAATATTAATGCGTGATCCATTCATATAAATTTTATTTACTTGCCCATTTTACCAATACACATGTATGGAAGTAATGCAACAATGGTACTGAGCTAAAAAAAAAAATAATGGTGTGACTGATTACGAGAATATTCGCTTTATCTTGCTAGGATCAATATGATCATAGCCAGGGTTTGTGTTCAATTGAGAGTCCACCGTCCTCTGGTAAAAGTCTGGTTTAAGTGAGATGATTGAAGGTGAACATGAGTAGCCTAGAACTAGAAGGCTCTCTGGAAGAATAAAAAGCTAAATTTACTCTCCAGAGAGCTTGGCGCACAATGGCAGTTTACAAGAGCTTTATAAAAAGGTGTAGAGTTTGAAATGATTTACTTTGAAAGATTTTTTATTTTCATTTTTACCTTTCTTCACTGTCTTTTTTCAATTGAGGAAGGAAATGTTCTTCTGCTACAAGTAATTTGAAATGAAAGAAGTTGGATAATGGCATATTGATTTTCCAGATGACCAAAGGATTTCTTAGATGATGCCCCCTGCTATGTAGGCAAGTAATGCAACATAGAAAAACTCCCAGGCTCTCTAGATCTAGTGTTTACTATTTACTCTTTCACAGAGCTTTCCAGTTCCAGGCCAAAAGTGAACTTCAGGTTGAAATATTCATACAGAATCATTGATCGATGATCAGTCATCAGTCAGTCCCAGAATGAAGTAAACCATAGGCATACAATGTAGTACCATACAATTATCGACTTTACTGTAGAATACCCCACCAATAGTGCATTTTGTACATAGATTATCAAAGCATAAAGCTTAAAGTTCAGGGTTAGCCTTTGTTTAGCTTTAGGAATAGGTCTAGCCTAGTACTATAGGGTCAGTATAAACTTTGAGTTAGGGAAAAGTTGAGAAAATTATGACGAACAACTGACAATAACATGCATTTTCAACTCGATGTCAATGCAATGCCTATGTCAATTTGGTGGACGAATTTAAATAGTCCTAAAGCCAAGGCAAAGCTACGCACATGTATAAAACGAATACTAATCTCTATTATTAAGCAGACTTTCAACCTTATTTGTAACTGATACTTCACCCCAAATACTGATATTTCACCCCAAAAATAAAGGAAAATTACTCATTCCTCGATCTTCTTAGTTTACTTCTTACTTAGTTAGGTCTACTTAATCTTAGGTCTAGATCTAGACGGAAGACCCTCCTTCTAGTTAGTTTTACTATCTTACTTAGTACTCTCAGCAAACCTCACTGCATGAGATCTTCGTTGCTCAGTCACATCAGAAGTTGGCGCTTGTTCAGAAACCTATCCAAAATTTGACCCGTAAATCCGGCCTGGAGATACCCTACTAACACATTCCCAAAATGAAGTAAATATTCATTAAATGTCCAAATAAAGATCATGAGTTAAAAATTGTTATGTTTATTACCTGTTTCATGTCAACTTTCTTATTATTTTTGGAGTATTTTTCAGAAAAACATTGATATTAGTAGACCCTAGACACTTTTTCACAGGTTTCACGGCAAACTGCTGCACAATACAAGTGCAAACAGACGGTGGGTTGCGGACGGGAATGTGCCTGTGTGAATGTGTAATGTCTCAGATCCTCATTATGGTAGATAAATTTACACAGACGCGAGTGCGCCCGCAACCCACCATCGGTATGCACTTGTATTGTGCAGCAGTTTGCCGTGAAACCTGTGAAAAAGTGTCTAGACTCTAGAGTCTCCGGTTTGCGGCATCGCCCGGTTTGCGGCCAGGGGTATTTGTTTTAAAAATAAAATGAATATGACTCGATAATAATCATTGAAACCTACCGTGGATTCCACGGTAAGTTCTGCTTTGCCGAAAACGTCCGTAGCAGGTGCTCCTGTCGGTACGGAGTATCCGTCAGCGATGTCGGAAATCTACGGCACCAGTCGCCGATGAAAATTCCAGCAGGTGCTAACTTTTAAGTTAAGAGATCGAGGCATGACTAGATCAATATTGTAGCTCTATTTGTCCGATATTTGTCCGATTGGAGGTGAAATTTGATGTTTTTGTGGAAGTATGATGGCTGTGGTCCGTCTCCTATCGCAGATATTTTGATTGTGCCACCGCATGGCCAGTTGCATGGGGTGGCCGCAAACCGGCACGTAATTACGTGTTTTTTCTGGTTTGCGGCGGGGGGTGTTAATACACGCATAACATGCGGGATCGTGTATGATGGTATGTGTGCTGATGTGTGTACCCGCTATGACACGATAGTTTCTAGTAGTACTTACCCCCGGATGGGATGATCCATTCGAGGAAAAGGTGAAATTGTTTAAAACTTGACAAATTTACCGTAGCAACAGATAAACATGAGAATTTGGGTTACCCGTAGTAATTTGGTACATGCTTTCATCGTGACGTAGCGCATAAAGCTTTGTGACGTACGCGTGCCGCAAACCGGTAATGCGTGCCCGCAAACCGGGGAACTCGAAGCATTTCGAAACGTGGTCAATGCTGACCACGCTGTGGGTCAGTTAGGTTATTTGTGACTTCTATTTAATAAGTAAGTATATGGACTCTTTATTGAGGGTATTGAAGTATTCTGTGAGTATTCCAATAAAAATAGAATCGGCAGTTCCCGCCGATCGGCCGCAGACCAGAGCCACTACTCTATAGGGTCTAGATCTACTAATATCAATGTTTTTCCGAAAAATAACAAGAAAATTGACACGAAACAGGTAATAAACATAACAACTTTTAATTAATGATCTTTATTTGGACATTTAATGAATATTTACTCCATTTTGGGTATGTTTAAGTAGGGTAGATCTCCAGGCCGGATTTACGGGTCAAATTTTGGATAGACTTTCTAGGCCTAGGTTTCTGAACAAGTGCCCAGAAGTTTGGTCACTTTCACTTTGTTGCATTGATTTGCAAGGTGCATAGCTTAAATACCTGCGTAGCTTTAGATCCCTCTAGCCTACCAAGTTATTACACGACCGGCTCGATGAGTCTGAATTAGAGCTCGAATCGCCAGATTTATGACCGTTTCTTCATTTGCACGTCAAATGCAGCCTGAGCTAGCTGCCTGAGCTGCGCCTGGATCATTCGTGATCTCAATACCATACCGGCATAAATAATGAATAGGGCCTAGCCTATGCAATAATTGAAGCAGCCGACATCATCATCCTGTACCAACAAAGTATACCAAATTGTACTCATTCTGAATGACGCTAATAAACATGCACTAAACCTTAATGAAGTTGTTGAAGCTTTTTCGAAATAACATTGTCTGAAATGAGAGAACTTACAGTGGAAAGACAGCGTCCAGCTCGGTTTGCGACAGGTAAGAGCGACATCTTGTTAAGCAACCCTTTACATGTACAGATTCTGCCGATAGATGGCGCAAAAGCATAGCCGTTTTTCGTCAGCATAATATTGCCAGGGTCATGCCTTCAAAATACCATTTGGATCTTTTTCTATTTTGTTTATTTATTTGTTTCCTTCTTTCTTTTCGTTTGGAGAGGAGATTTTCGTTGGATTTCTATCTTAGGGAAAGAGAAAAAAAATAAAAAAGGAAAACATTGGGATAAACAGAAGAAGGCAAAAAGAAAGAAAGATACTGGAAAAGGCGAAAAAGGGATAGTCGGTGTAAATATAAGTTTTTTGTGCGAAAGCTGTTCTCTTTTGATAAGGGTGAAATTGGTTCGATATTCGATTGTCTATAATTATAGCCCGGCCCCCCCCCCCACTCAGAGGTCGGAATGACCGCATGCGTGTTGCCAAAATGTCCGGTAAAGGGGTACTTTTCGTGCGACAAAGTCCGGCCCGAGAATTGTAAAAAAAAAGGGGTGTATTTGACTTTTCACCCGGAGATTTCTTTAAAAAGGGGGTGTTTTTCTTTTTTTTCTCTCATTTCTTTGGGCTCCTGAGAAATTATTCCAAATTTAGGGGGGTACATTGAGCATTTTTCCTGATTTAGGGGGGTCTCCAAGGCAGGAAAAGTCCGCGAAAAGCCCGCGATAGGGGGTTTCGGAAATGTTGGCAGTCCTTTTAGGGGGTGCTTTCAAAAAGAGGGTACGAGCATATGCGTACCCTAAATAACACTGAGTGGGGGGGCCGGGAATTATAGTGGGATATTAATGTATTTCGTTACTTTTTTGAAAAATTGAGGAAATCGGGAGAGTTAATTCATTTTTAATTAGAATACATGTTGTCTTGTAAATAAGTGGTATATATTTGTAATCTGTCGTTTAAGAATGGTGATTTTCCTTCAAACATGAAAATCGCCAAAGTGATTCCCTTGTTCAAGAAGGGAGATACAGATAATGTTGATAATTACCGTCCTTTCCATTCTGTCTTCTTTTTCTAAAATACTGGAAAGATTAGTTTTTAATAGATTATCAAGTTTTTTGGTTCGTTTCAACATTCTGTCTAATGAGCAATATGGCTTTCGAAAATATTCTTCCACAGGGCTTGCCATTCTTGATTTATATGATAAAATAGTCCATTATGTTGATGTAAATAATCATGCTATATGTGTTTTTATGCATCCGATTTGAAAGCCTTCGATTCTATACCCCATGATATATTATTAGTTAAATTACATTTTTACGGCGTAAGAGGTTTACCTCACAAATGTTTTCAAAGTTTTCTTGCCGAATTTACATCTGTAAATTCTCATTGTTCTTTTTTTAATTTAATATCATATGGCGTCCCTCGTGGCTCTATTTTGGGGCCTCTGTTATTTTTGATTTAAATCAATGATATTGTAAACTGTTCCAATTTCTGTAAATTCACACTTTTTGCAGACGATACGACTATTAGTGCCTCAGAAAAAAAATGATATATTAACCCATAAACTAAATATTAGTTTGGAGTATGTATACGAATGGCTAGTTTGCAATTAAGCTGTTTTTGTTTTCTAAGACTAAATTATGTTGTTTTCAACAATGCTAGGAACCTAAATCCTGCAGTATGACAATTTATCTAATTCTATCAACAATAGATTAATTGAACAGTGTAGAGTTTTTAATTACCTTGGAGTACTTTTCGATAAATGCCTATCTTGGACTTCTCATATTAATTATATTAAAAAAAGGGTTACTCAGAGCGTCGGTATTATTAGTCACTTAAGATTTGTTATTCCACTCCGTATCTTATTCATGTTATATAATGAATTTATTTTGCCATATATTATGTATTGCATATCTGTTTGGGCGACGAAACATCCCTCTAAGTTATTCAAATTACATAGACTTCAAAAAAGGGCATTACGACTCTGCTCTAATTCCCCCTTTTTTTAGCTCCCTCACAACCTTTATTTAGAAGATTCAATAGTACATAATTATGAAATTAATAAATTGCAAATTGCGTCATTGATGCAACGATTTTTTTCTCAAACTCACTACCTCCAAACCTCATGCACCTATTTAGTCTCAACAATGCGGTCCATACCCACTACACAATAAATGCTGATAAATTCCATCATTGGAATGCTTCGTCCAATATACTGACCGATTCTCTCCGTTATGTTGGTCCCAAAATGTGGAATTCTATACCTCCATTTTTACAGTCTGTCGGATTTAATAATTCTTTCAAAAGTCAAGAAACATCTTCTCTCTCTTTATAACGCATAATTTATTTTAAGACCACACCTATATACTAATACTCCTACTCCTACTTTTTTTTCCTTTTCTTTTTTTTCTTCTTCTTTTCTTCCAAGTATATGTTATTATTACTTCTGCGTCTGGTACAATATTGTCAAGCCTAACTGGCTTTTACGGATGCACCATTTTCCATTTGTACTATAGTTTAAACCTTCATATTTTCTTTATATTTTGAATGCTGTTATGTCAATTTATATGTAATTTTGATATTGTTACATGTTATGAAATTCCATATTTTTTCTTTGTATATTGTCATGATGATGGAAAAACATTTCAATTCAATTCAATTCAATTGGCGTACCCTCTCTTTCACCCTTATCCCAAACCGACGGCCATGTTGTTTCGTATTTTATTCCCTTATTCCTCAAGTATAAGACCGGTCCACGGACCAGTCCTGGGTCCACCCCGCCCTCCCCAATGTTCCATTGTCCCCTCAATGAGTGAACCCGATCTACACCTCCCTCTTCCTTAGGCCTACATTTCTTTACCACGGTATTCATATTATCGAGTCAATAAACTTGTTCGGATCTGGACATTGTAAAACTAGAAGAAATGGGACCGACACTAATAGGCCCTATATAATTTGTAGAAATTAACGGCAATAGCAGCTGCATGTCTTTGGGACACGTGTTTCTGTTGGCGCGTGTCCTCGTGAATTTCTTGTTTTTACCACTAAGGAGTCACATTTTTCATAACAATCCGAGACGCGTGATGGTATATAATGGGTTTCCCAATTTTGCATTAATCAAGGGGTTTGTTAATATGTGGTCAGAAAATCACCTGATCCCATAATTATAGCCACTAACTGATTTCTTTTTAATTCGTGCCTATATGACGTGATTTCAGTGGATATGAGTAAGACTGAAATTATGTATGCAGACCTGCCAAGTTTTCCAACTGCAATGTGGGATAACAGACAAGAGTCCATTAGAGCGAAGCGAGCAATGCGAGCGGAGCGTATATAGGCCGGGGGGGGGGGGGCGTCATTTTTTTCTGCGGCACAGATTGGGTTTTTTTTTTTACAAAGAGGTCTCGATTTAACCCTAACCCTAACCCTAAACTTTCCCATAGGCTCAACACGCACCTAACCCCAATCTGTGCCGCAGAAAAAGATAACGCGACCGGGGGTCCAGGGGGCCGAGCCGACTGAGGGAAGGGTATCCAGAGGCCTAAAAATAAGGATTTTTGATGCTTAAGTTTCCAAAAACTGGGCATTATTTGATTGACTGATTAATGACTATAGCAAAAGATCAGCTATATCTTTTTTAATTATTATTATTTTTTAATTAACGGATTTTTAAAAACTAAATTATAATTAGATATTGGGCATATAGCTCAAAATACACGGGGGCGATGGGCGTTTCGCCCCCGTGAGCTCCATAATCGCCCCCGTCAGGTTGCTCACGGGGGCGATTACAAAATTAAAAATCGCCCCCGTGGAATTATAAAATAAAGATTATGTTTTCTGATATAACTTTAACACAAAATTGAGTATCAATTTTGAAACCTTAAACCAATGAAATGAAACTTAGAAGGCGTTTTCTCTCCCATCTATACGAATATTAACGATACAAACAACGGAAGCTCGCACTGCAGCTAGTGCGGCCGTCAGCAGTGGCTATTATACTGCGCCAGTATTACCGGTGTGCACGCTGGCGCACAATATCTGCTTGAGCTGGAGACGATCGCACAAGGACTGAAACGGGAGAAGTTTTTCGTTGTGAAAAGTGTGAATCCTCTGAAATCTGGGGATTCTAAAAGACCATCAAAATGTAACTCGACCGTCCAGTAAATCAATATTGAGAAGAAGAAGACCAAAGATGTTGCAGGGGCGGATCTATGCGGTTTAGGGCGTTTAACCCCCCCGGTTAACCCCCCTCCTCCCTTTGGCTGCCAAGTGAAAATGTGATGTGCATAGAAAAATGCTATCATGTGTCCAGACCTACACAGTATTAGTAGATGTCAGTAGCCTAGATGCCAGGAAAACATCACTAACGGGGGTTCAAAATAGCAACAACAAAAATCGCCTCGCCGCTACCCCCCACCCTTAGCAAAAAAACTAGATCTGCCCCTGTGTTTTGGAAGGATATGGTAAAGACTAAAAGTAAAAAAAGAATGTAAATAAGGTTGCTCCGAATAATGAGGAGGAATTATATGTGCAGAACGGGAAGAAATGGAGAGAATGTCATTACGGGGATAAAAGTCAATAACAGCTATGTAACAAGTAAATTTCTCAGAGGGAAAATGCCGACTTAAATAAATGATAATGATAAAATACCAAGTTTCATGGGTACCAATTCAATGGAATTTTGTATTAGAATAAGAGCCCCTGTCAGCCCTAAAAGAGCCCCCGTGAGAACGCTCACGGGGGCTCTTTTTTTTTTGGAAGAGCCCCCGTGGACAAAAAATTAATTTGAGCCCTTCCTATATAGCCGATATGCCTTTTGCTCGCCAGCCACTGAATTCTTCAGCATTAACAGTTTTAAAAATCCAACTTATCCAAATCTATATATTAAAAAAAAGTAAATCTAATTTTAAAGGAAAAAAATCCTAAGAGAAGAGGCGTAAATATTCACTTCTGAATGACAAACGCCTATAAACTAAAACAACAACAACAACAACAACATTGGCTCGACAACAGCTCTTTTTTCTTGAGTGGAGTGATGATTATACAAGATATGACAAGATAGGTGAGGTGTTCGCAAAGTAATCAAGTTATTACCATCTGTCCTTCATGTGGTCTTTCAAATATGGTTATACCATCATCTGAATTATGAAAAGCAAACTGTTAGATAACGAAATGAGCAAATCTTGTGTAACATCTTACATTATCTGACTGTTCTCTTTATTTAAGGTCATATATATTATAAGCCCGAGTGCTTAAACGGCTGCAAAGGTCTCCTAACAAATCTTTTTTGAATGGAAAATAAGCCCTTTTCTTGGTTTAAAAGATACACAAATTATAGGCCCACTTTTTGGAGCATTAAGAAGAGGGAATGGATTCTTGTGGGGAAAATAACTTCCAGGAAAAGAAAATGCCGGGGTTTTGTTTTTGTTTTTTTCTTTCTTTGTCCTCTTTTACTTCGTTTGATCTGATAATTGATTGAACGATTATTTTTTCCTCTCTATTCAAGTGATTATGGCCACTGCAGTTTGGCACAGCTTACACATTCATGGCCTATGAGGGGCAGTTTGAGCTACAGATCTACCAAAGCAAAATGTACAATAATTAATATCCCATCACTTTAAAATATTTGTTTGCAAATGTTTTTCACCCATAATGACGCCATTTTGGTTGATGATGGTTCCACAGCAGGCGCGTACGCAGGCCGGGGGGATTGGGGGGTCGAACCCCCCCCCCCTCTCAATTATTTTGGGGGTGTGTTTTGGATGAACCTCCCCCCTCAATTTAAAAACAAATAATAAATTAATAATTTTTTTTTTTTAAATTATTTTTTTAAAAAATTGTGCTAACGAGTGACGCAAAACAGGTGACCTTACCCCCCCCCCCCCCCAACGGAACGAAATATCGATTGGCGAAATTTTTGGGACAAAACAAAAGTGCTCTAACTAATTACTTATTACTAATCTGCGTCAGTCCTTATAACGTAGTCCCAGAATTTGAAAGATCAGGTCCCAACCCCGACAGTTATAACTAAACATTGAACAGAGGCAGATCTTGTATTGACACATCCCTGTTTTCTTATTTTTTGTTTCAAGTTTTCTCAAACGATCAGTCAGAGTTCCTTTATAACTCTGCCGAGATTAATAAGCTTCCGGCTCTTTCCGGCGCCTTTTCGAGAAAAGGTTTAAACTCCGTCGTAACGTAATGAGTAATCAAAACAGCGGATTTCATCTTACATCAATGTGCATTGCATAAAGAAAAATTGACATTCTTATAAAACTTTTTTTTAAAAACAATATATGAAGTTTTTATTGCACTGTTCCGAAGTTCTTCATGTTTAATTTCTGTGCATGACAGGACGCCACCTGCGTTTGAAATAATGATTTCTCATTCTCTCGGGTCAGTTTAATTTGATCCGTTCGCGAGGTTTTTTCAAAAATTAAAACAAATAGTCAAAGATGAGAACACAGAGAGGAAAAATTAAATGGATATTTAACAATTAAAAATTGTTAGGCCAAGACAGAGTCGGTTAAAAAAAGAATTGTGTTATCCTTATTAGTAATGTTGCCGAATGTGATATACGACCCCACCAAACGTTTTCATTATTTTCAACAATAATATTTGAAGTTTTATCAACATCCCTGCTTAGATAATGAAGTAAGTAAGTCCCAGGTGTTTGTGTCCGTCGCTTTCTCTGTAATGTTTTCTTTAGTCACGTGTGTTTGGCGGACGGAGGCGGGTTGAGCGAACAAGTCGCCCTTCATTAGGCCGTTACACCTGCTCACAGCTAGAGCAACGACCGATCCCTGGAACTCTGCGCGTCGTGCTTCATTTCGCGCCAAAAGTAATATTCGACAGTGACATTCGGCAGTGAGCTTATATCTACCGTAGATTGGCTTGGAAGAGCTTCAGACGTACGATTGTCTTCTTTGTGATTGCATCGTGATTTAGTATACGTTCCTTTGGGATAACATTTGGTAAAACTTTGCTCCGCTTTCACCGATTCCGAGACCATGAAGCCTACAAGGAAAATATTTCCTGCGTAGTCCGACTTTAGCAACTTATATTTTTTTACACCTGCAGCTGTAGGTGAATTCATCTTCTGGTTTCATGATAATTACACTGAGAAACAAGTCAAAACAAGTGCATCTGTCCTGAAAAGGATATTGTTGCATCTTCCTCAAATAACATTATTCTCAATTGACTTCGGTCTAATTCCACCCTTGCAAGTTGAAGCACAAAGGTTCTGATGGAGATGGATTTGTTAAAGACGGTAAGCGTCTTGATCGTTTTAGCATCCAGCGTGCAGCAAGGATTGGCAGTGGCAGGTGAGAGTTCTTTTCTTTGTTATTATAGTTCTTACACTTTCAGCGGGAGGCATCATCGACTTTGATATTAGGATTGCTTCAAGGGTGCCGTGTATGATGATGCAAATGCATAATATTAGTTTACATGAATACATTTTGATGTGTTGCCCCCGTCTGAATTGAGTAAATAAAGATAATAAAAATAATAATAATAGGCTACATTGCTTAATAAACTCAAATATCAACATGGTATCATTGCTGTATTGATGTCATGTAAGCTTAGATTGCACAATCAAGAAACAATTGAGACTAAGAAGATATTTGCTTGCTGTATTGCGGAGGAAACATAGGAAAGCATAGCTTGTAATGTAGGTTCCCTAACATAAAATATCATAGTATCATAACATAGAAAATGCAAGGAAAAGAAAAGATGGGAAAACGGGACGATACAAAACAAGACAATACATGACAAGACAAGCAAAAAAAAACAACACAAGCACAAGAACGGAACACTGAAGTTTGCATTATGCAGCTATCGAATGCACTAAAAGCATTGCGCGACATTGGTTTGACATAAATCAAACTCCAAGGGAAAATGTGAATTGTAAACATGAATGATGGCATGCATTTGAAGCAAATGAGCATAATGTTACATGGATTCCTTATAAGTGTTAACTATATATAGCCTTAACTTCTTATTACGTTTAAATGAAAATGGACTTGGTGAGTGCATAGAAAGACTCATCATTAGAATTCCAAAAGATCGGGCCCGTGTAAATTAAGGTTTTCTGTTTACAAAGCGTTCTTAACATTGGAATATTGTAGCTGGTAATAATATGGAGAGGTCCAGAAAGATACCAAGTGTGTGCAGGGGGTCATCGATAGCAGTCGCTATAATGATTAATAAAGTATACAAATGCATGTGTTGTTGAGTGCTTTTGTCTAAAGCCGAATTGTAAGTTTAATCCAAGGATTGCGTGGTTGCTGTTTGTGCTTGAGTTTAACTTTTTGAAGAGGGATACATTCATTAATGATTTCATAAAAATATACATAAAGTTGTTGTAGGATCTATTAACATCGCTCTCAGCTAAAACTTCTGCCCAGTTATCTTCTAATTTTATCAGGAGTATTTTTCCTCACCATCCTAATTGAGGGAGCGTGGGAATTAGCACCGTAGTAAGATGTTATTTTATCGAATATTGGACAATGATCAGAAATATCAGAAATAATGACACCTGATTCAGTATCCATATCAATATTAGAGAAAATATTGTCAATTTAAGCGCAAGAATGAGAAGATAACCTAGTGGGTTTAGAAATCAGTGGAATGAATGAAAATGAAAAATGTGAATAAAAAAAGTCTTGAGAAAAATTATCGTCACTGCATTTTAACAGATAGATATTGAAATCGCCCATCAAAAAGCAGTGAAATAAAGGGTTGGAGAGTATAAATTGTTGCATTTTAAGTCAAAATGTGTTTTGATCAGAAGATGGTGGTCGATAAATCCTGCCTACAACTAAGGTTTTTTTCTTGGACAACCTAATTTCAATAAAGACTGTTTCCATGGTTTTATTCATTATAGTCAATCCAATCAGTACACTGTAGTGAAGGTGCGCTGGAACATACAATGCAACTCATCCTCCTCTTCAATCAACTCTATTGTTTGAAATAAGGTTATGCTTAGACAAGGAATACATAATGTGAGGTTCATCTGTAAACCAGGTTTCTTTCTGTCAGACCAATCACAAAACGATACTTGGATGCTATCTAACAATACACTCTGCTGCTCAAATGCTTTGTTTACACTGCGAAAATTAGGATATAAACAATTCAGATCACTCTAGGAAGCAGATTGTTAATTGCTAATAAATTGGTTCTCAGTAAAATACTCATCGAGACTTGACAAATGAAATGTCATTAACATCCAAAGCATATTCGATTTCTTCTAAACTGTTATTAAATGCGTTTGAAATATTTTGTTCATAATCAGATACGGAATTGCTGCTAACATTATGCTGTAACTGTAGAAGTAAATATAAATCAATATCGTTTACATCGTTAAATGGAAAAGTATTCATATCTAGTGTAACATAATCTGAGTGATAAAAAAACCTCACATGGGTGGGTTCACGAACAAATGCAATACCATGTATACATTTGAATAGCAGTGCTTATAGTTGTATTTAATCATTTAGATGTTACAGGTACCCAGTGAAGTTCAGATATAGGAGGCAATACTGTTCGTATTTCCCTTTGGCTACTATGATAGTATGAGTCTAGCAGCCCGGTTTCGGATACGCCGTAATTATTGAAGTAATGACTCTTGGATTCAGAAAAAAAAAACTGTTATCAATATCTAAATGACTTTAAATAAAAGCATGATCTAGTTTGTTTGTTGTTTTTTGGTCCAGAAATGTTCGATTTTTACCAATTTTCTACAAACCCTCGGGCAGCTGGCTTAATCATTATGTGAGTTAAAACTCACACATAATTATAAGGAGAGGGCCAAAGTCAGAAAAGAGAGGTTTTGTTGCCATATACTTCACAAACTAAAGACACCTAATTAATGAGAAAAAATTATCATCATAAACAATATTCAGAGGTATTTGTTTTGGAACTATTATCCCTAAATCGGAGGATGCGTCCGAAAAAACACCTCTTTTGACGAAAAAAAAGTATTTTGTAACAAAATATTTTCAAAAGACCTAGAGCCAACATGTTTGAGTTGGTGTCATGTAATATTTATGGAAGAAAATTACACTATCTACATTTGAATACCAATTTCAATGGAACAAATGGATACAGGTTAATATTAGGGGGAAATTAATTTGAAGGTGATTGAATTATCCATCATTATGACACCAAACCGTGGCCTTTATCTTTGTTGATTGGAGGTTTTACTTAAAATTTATCTTTAAATCTGGATTTAGACACACCAAACACGTCCTCGACACTACAATACATATGATATGCTTACAGTTAATACAAATATGGGCAAGAGACCAAGGAAGGAGGAAAGTGAGATATAAAAGAAGTGTTATTCAAGGAAGAAAAAGAAGAAGAGGAAGAACAAGAAGAAAAGGAAGAGGAAGAAGAGGAGGAGGAAGAAGAGGAAGAACAAGAAGAAGAAGCAGAAAAAGAAGATGGAAAGAAGAAGAAGTAGAGGAAGGGGAAGAAAAGATTGAGGAGGAGGAGGGGGAAAGGTTGATGAATTGGCATGATGGGGGTAATAAACTCGCGGTGAGTTAGTCTCAGGTGTAGCTCTAAAACTCTCCGACAATGTGGCGCCACAATTCTTTTTTTCTGATCCCCCATTATCCCTTTTCACACCCATTTTCTATTTGCACTTATTATTATAAACCTGACATGGCAACAGAACGGATATTGGTTAGGATGATTTATTCCTTTCTACATTCCGATTTTTATTGATGTACACCCCGCAAGATTGTATATGAGGTTAAAACCAATCAGGTTCTTAATGTGATGTGAAGTGGGAAACGTGCATGCCGAGGAGTAATGGGCGGAATCAAAAACTTTGCTTTATTTTCCTTTCACAAATCTAGAGGCGTTTTGTATGTTCACAATGTAGGTGATTACAAACGGACGGGTTACGTTAGGGGACATTTAAGTAAGCACCGGTCATCCATAGTGATTTCCTAGAACATCACAATCCTTGAGTAAATCTGCAATGGAGTATAATGAAATCGTCACTAGTGGTGCGTTAGGCCTTTTTGTAACTTAATTAATTATTAAGAAGTAGGAAAAGGAAGAGGAGGAGGAGGAGGAGGAGGAGGAGGGGGGGGAGGAGGGGGGGGGGGAAGGAGGGGGGCAATAAACTTGCGGTGAGTTAGTCACAGGTGTAGCTCTAAAACTCTCCGGCAATGTGGCGCCACAATTCTTTTTCCCCGATCCACCATCATCCCTTTTCAAATCCAATTTGTCACACTAAGTTTTACGAACGACATGGCATCAAAAACGGATAGTGGTCCTTCACCATTAAGTTTTTGTGTCTATGTACTCACCGGAAGATTTAATATGAGCTTTAATCCGATCAGTTCGTTTATGTGGTATGAAGCAGGAAACGTGCATGTCGAGAAGCAATTAGCAGAATTACGAGCTTTTCTTCATTTTCCTTGAACAAATTTAGAGGCTTTTTGTGTCTTCATAATGAACGTGGTTACAAACGGACAGGTAATGTTAGGGGAAATTAACTGAACACTGGCCATTAAGTGATTTCTTAGGACATTATAATAACTGTATAACTTTGTAATGGAGTATAAATTAGATTCGTACCTAATGGTGCATTAGGTTTTGTTTTATAAGTTCATTAATTATTTTCTACTTTGAAACATTTTAGTGTAAATTCTTGTCAATCTTATGGTCTAGTTTAAGAAAATCCATTCCACTGTATCCTCTTCAATCAGAATTGATGCTGTGTATACAGTCTGAGCTAGTTAATTAACAATTTACTCCATTAATGAGGATATAATGTCTTAACGACAGAGCCATCTTCCCAACCATTACCCCTGTCAAATACCCATTGTTATTCTAAATTAAACATGTCTTAGGATTCCAATCAGGTATGTCTATCAAAATAAAGGAGAAGTACATTGGAGAATAAAACAGGTGTGATATCAATAGAACTCGGCTCCATTAGCGTAAATAGCCTAAATGGTTTTTAATGTCTCAGTGAACCCGTCCTCTATTATTTTGCTTGTTACTCGTTTCTAACCGTATAGTATTCGCTTTTGTGTTTGTTGTGTTTGGTGACCTGATCGAGTCCACAGTGCTAATGGTTATTTAGCTCCATAATAATGTAATAATTTTAAGCTTAGCATTATTAGCAACTAATTTATTGTTCTATCACAATTTCATAATAGGAAACATCGTATATCAAAGGCAAAATGGAAAATAAGGGATCGTGTAATGTAATAAGAGCAGATATATTACATTTATTACATTACGAAGAACAACCGTGTTTGTATTTTACCAATTAATTATTTTATTCCTGTTTATGAGT